TTCTAGTTGTTAAAACACACCATAAAGCATTTATGAATTTCCAGTAATACATACAGAACAGGCACGTTGCACTGGGATAATGAAAACTAGGGATCATTTTATTTATTCCTTCTGCACAGCTAATACAAACAAGCATATTTCTTCCCAGCATTAAAAAAGTCAACATGACAACATGCAGATTTTTTTTTCCCCCATGACAGAACCTCAAGTAAACAACAGAAGAAACACATTAACCACCCAAAAAAAAAGCTGAGTGCTTCAAACATAACCACTGCTCGATCTGGAGTTGTTTGAGATATTACTATTGCGAGTATACTGCACTTAATAAAAACTTCTTCCCATAGCTGCTACCCAAAGTTAACACCTCTGCTCTGCAATCTCTACAAACTTCTAGCATCCAACAGCTAAATTAAAACTGATTTTTGAAACAGATGATCAGCAGTAGACAATTTCAAAGTTTCACAGTGTAAAGTCAAACAGCACTGAAGTCACACGTTTTACCAGTACGTGTATGTTCTACTCAACATCAAGACAAATCTGACTATCTCAAACAAACAGCTTTATTTGCAACACTCACACATGCTGTGAAATACTAACTCACCAAGTCTGTGGAAATCAGAACTCTACAATGGAATTGCTTTAATTTAGCCATAGCATCAAGTCGTTGATTTTGATTCATACTGCCTAGAGAAACAGAAGTTAGAATAAATAGCTCATGTTCTTTGGTGTCAAGCCCCTAAAATTCTGGAAGACACTGCTTTGTGAACTGTACTTGATATGAGAAATAAGGTTGAGAGAAAAAACACAGAAGAAAAGCAAAACAAGCTTGAGACTAAGAACTATTTTTTGGCAATGTATTTCCTTTTGCTCATTTGGGAAAAAAAACGATTACATAGATACTTAACCCATTTGGATAACATTGGCTTTAGACAAATTTTGTTTTACAATCCCAGAAAAAATGCTGAAGTAAAAATTCAAAGGAAGATTTCTAATAAACATTTGAAACTTTTTACAACAGAACTAGAAATAGAGATGTAAATTAAACATCTGCATTCCCAAGCTACAAGCTACAAATTTAAGCTTTCCCTTTAAAAATAAAATAGTGCACTTGTCTAAATACTCATAATATGTTTCTCAGACAAATTAGAAGACTGTAAAGTCCATCAGCGTAAAAATTTAATTAATATTTAGGTCTTAAAGACCTATGAAGATTCAAATGCTCTTCTTAGCTACTCAAACAGAAGCCATACAAACCAAGCTTTTAGGATGAATTTTCCTATCATAGGTCACAGTTGTGCACGATTTCAACCAACAGAATCACAAAGTTTTGAATGGGCTTACCTGAAATGCACTCAGCGGGAAAGCCTCTGGACGTTAATATTTCAGCTAGATGTTGAGCCCTGATACAATACACAGAATGAAAACAGTAAATAAAACTACATATCTACCAGCCCACATGCATTTCTTAACAAGAGACTACTCTTAATAGTCAAGGATTCCATTCCAAAATTGTTACCATCATCTTACAGACAGTCACCTAACAGATGGATAAAAGCAATAGCATATTAGGTCCCACTGTACTCTAACGTACAAGATACTTCTGTGTTAAAGCTTTACTTTCAATATTTCTGATCTGTGTTTCTGAAATCTATAAAGGTCTCAAAGCAGTCTGCAAAAGATCTATAGAATACCCATGAGTGGGTATTATAACCATTGCTTTTGAACATGCTTTTAACAGATTTTATTTCAGATTTATTACCTGCTGTGCAAATTTGAGAAGACTAATGCTTGATTAAATGGAATCTTGCTGAACAACTCCTGTAGGTGCTGGGTTTTTTCCTCAAATGTTTTATGTGGAAGCGGATGGGAATTCACGATCTTATAATACTGCTTCAACCCTGAACATGAAACCAAGGAGACCATCAGATGAAAATTTCCATAAAAAACATGCAAAGCACCGTGCTGCTATCAACATGTCACTGCAGTTAAAACAAGGACTTTTAAACATAAACGCAGTTGACAAATAATAATATACCAGACAGGTTTTCCTTAAACAGACGAAACACAAAGAATTTAAAACTTTTTAAAGATGCATGTTTTGGTTTTAGGATACTCCTCTAAATCGATTGATAAGATTATCAATAAAAATGGCTCACCAATGAGACTCAGATCGGTAGGATTCAACCTCACAAACGTTGGTTCTCTCATATACCTGGTCAAAGCATTAGCTAATGATTCAGGGTAAGTAGCTGAAACAGCAAGCATCTGTTTATTGTCTGGCAGCGAAGAGTAAATCCAACTATGAGAGAAAAAAAATGGGAATGACTAAAAAACATGCATCTAATCTGCAGATAAATGCATAGGGTATGTGGTTTTCTTACTTGATTTGCTCCTGAAAGCTGCCTTCTTCTAGAAGCTTATCTGCTTCATCAAGAATGAAGAGACGGATACTAGCTGTATTCAAGTAGTCCAACTCTATGAGCTGTTTTATTCGACCTATGTATGAAAAAAAAGTAAACTGAGCTTCACAAATATTAACTCAAAGGTTCTGAAGATAAGTTTCACAGTACTTAATTTTTAAAATTCACTTTAATAAGCCTTCATAAAAGGTGTATTTAGTATAATCTCTTGCTAAAAATACTATCTTGGTCTAAACATTTTCGTCACTGCCCTTTGGGACCCTTGTCTATTATTAATAAAAAAAAAATGAAATCAAACTTTAAACATAACATTTTTGCACTGTGAAGTACCATGCAGTACCCAATGAAGTACAACGCTGCATATCCTCACCTGGGGAGCCAACTGCTATGTGGCATTTCTTCAGTCTGACTTTGTCCTGGTTCAAAGGCGTCCCTCCGATGAAGACATGGCATTCCAAACCTTCCATTTTTATTCCAATAGTTGTGATTACCGCATGGATCTGCACAGCAATCTCTCGTGTAGGAGCCAAAATAAGAGCCTGCAAGTGACAAAGAATTATACCCAAATGCCACAAAACAGTTCAGAAACTTAAAGCACGGCAAGAAGCTGTGATAACTTCAAATATTACGGTTTACATATGATTTGCTACATGACCGGAGATAAACTTCTGATATGAGAACGCTACTTATAGGGGTATACTACACAATTACACGTAATAACACAGGCAAAGACACGAGTCCCACTGCCCAGAACGTTGTTTTCCCAACAGAAACACCCGATTCCCCCCCGCAGCCCGAGGCGCACCACCTCACAGCAGGGCCCGGCGCTCACCTGCGTGGCCGGGCTCTCCAGCATCAGCGCGTCCAGGGCGATGGTGGAGAAGACGCAGGTTTTGCCGGTGCCGGACTTGGCCTGCACGATGAGGTCTGCAAGGAGCCGCCACAGGAGTCAGGGGGGCAGGCGGCGGCCTCCAGGCCCCGCGGCCTCCCCCCACCCCGCGCCCAGCCCGCCGCTCACCCAGCCCGCAGCGCCCCAACGGAATAGGCCTTCAGCTGCACCGGGGAAGGCCTGTGGAACCCAGGCCGCCTCCAGCCCCGCCAGCACCGGCTCCGACAGCAGCAGAGACCCGAAATCGGACTGGGCCCCCGGGCACCGCCACATCCCGCGTGCGGGTCCGCTCCCTCCCGCCCGCCGCCTCAGCGGGCGCCGCCATCTTGGGAGCGGGGAGCGGGCGCGCGGCCTCTCGCGAGAGGCGCCCTCAAAACATGGCCGCCAGGGGGCGCCCCGGGACTGGCGGCGCCGAGCCCGGCCCTCAGGGGCAGAGCGGGCTGGGTTGGGGCTTGTCCCGTCGTTTGTGTGCGTTACCTTGACGAAATTACATAAACCTCGTAAAAAGCAGCCGGTGGAGCTCTCATCTTCGAAGTGTGGAAGGTGGCGGTGCTCGTTGCGGTGGATTCCAGAAGTCGGACGTGGGATTTTTGCATTCAGTTACAAATTCCTCGGGGTTTTCAGTAAACTACTGATGACTTCCCCGTTTTCTGCAGTCAGTGGAAACGGTTCCCCTGCCTCTGATCTGATTTCACACGCTGGCAGGGAATACTGCTACTCACCGGGGCTTTATCTGCACACGTATTTGAATCACAGACTCATCAAGGTTGGAAGCAACCTCCAAGACCACCCAGGCCAACCATCCCCCTGCTACCAATGTCACCTACTAAACCCATCCTACAGCTTGTCTTAAACCTGGTAGCTCTGACCTGATTAGGAACGAGGTAAAGAAGGCAGAAACAAAGACCATCTGCAGGAGATCAGGGGGTGCAGGCCACCCCTCTGAACAAGATGAGGGCATGAGACACACCATCCACGCCTGCCCACAGGCCCAGGGCTGGCATGTTGAGTCAAGGCACAGGCTGTGCTTTGGGGGGTAATCGACACAACACATCTTTTCAGCTAATTTCCTGGCATTTTTTCTACCAACATTAGCAATTATTTCCTGTTTACAGCAATAAGCGAGGCTGTGGCTCCCCACTGTGAATCTCAATAGATGCATTTATCTACATAGAGGCAGTTAATGATTATGTTTATGAGGCAGCAATCCTTTATACGAGACAGACAAACCTTCAAAGCTAAACAGCCTTTCATACCTTCCTGGGCCGTTTGTTTTAGGAACCACACAAAAGCTTACACTTAGAAATATCAGAGAGGACAAAACCACTGTACTGCAGGAGGGAAATGAAACGAACTGGAGATCTTGCCACAAGCTCCACAAGTAGGAGCTTTAATTAGTGCATAAATCTGAACCCTGGGGAGAAAGCTGGGCTCAAGACACACTGGAGAACAGCCTGAGCACTGGACATAGGGAAAGGCAGCGCCAGGCCAGAAGTAGTAGGAGGAGAAAACAGGGAAGTGGTCAGAAGAGAGGAGTGAGAACAGAGGGGGAAAGGGAGTTGTGCGAGGAATGGAGCTGATGGGTCAGCAAAGGAATGATGGAGAAGGCTGCAAAAGAGGAGGACAAAATTGACCATGTTGGTAAAGCAGCCTCAACAAGCTTCCTGGCAGCTGGTGCCCACAGGACATATAGATGTGTTTAGGGAGAAAGCAGCCACCGCTGATCTCTAAGCTGTTCTACTGTAGTGAAATACCAGGGAAAGTTTGTTCTGACCCCTCTAGATTCAGCCCTCAAGTTTCTCATTAAGCACTCTGAGTCTGGGATATGGTTGTACTGCATGTAGAAACAGGGTTTATAAGCTAGGGTACTATATAAAAAAAAAAAAAAGTGTAGCACTCACTTCAGCAAAAGCCAAGTGTATTAATATTCGTATATGCATTACTTACTCTACCCTGTAGATCACTTACTTTAAATCATGGATGGTTTTATGCATATCAGCTTTTATTGTCATAGCAGCAGTTTAGAGGCTCTGGACATGCGGCTTCAATTCATTGCAATGGGATTTGAAAAATCTCAACAGTGACTTCTACTGTATAAGCACATACACTGTGTCATTATTCTTACATTTCCAGGCAGCCTAAATGAATTGTAATGGCTTTTGATGTACCACAGTCTCTGTTACGCTTTTGAAATTCTTCATGTTTATATTCCTTATGGGAGGAAAAAAAGAAAAAAGAAAAGAAAAGTCTGGCAAATTCTATTCACTTGTTATATTTTATTATGATGATCTCTTCTCATGAATATCTGAGTACCAACGACAAGTGGGGCCCCACAGCACAAAGACAGTTTCTGCTTTGGAGAGCTTACCTCTACGAAGTCGGGACAGGCCAGATGGTAGGGGCAAGAACTGTGCCACAGAGCAGAGGCAACAGGCTATCCACATACATTCTGTTAGTTCCAATTATTTTTTAATTTTTAAGTGGATATTCCCCTTGGTCCTCAAGGGGAAATGAGCCTCCAACATGAGATAATTCTCTGGATACATCTGAAAAAGGAGACAGACAAGGAGATCTGGACATAACGAATGCTTTGATTAAATACAGCCTCTCATAACCCTTTTAAATTGATGTGATTTAAACAGACAACAAAGAGCAGTTGGAAGTGTCTGTGCCCATGGGGGAAGGGCAGAGGAGTGATAAAGCATCCATAAGCAATGAACTGCTCCCCCTTTCCATCTTCCTTGCATGTTTTGTTTTTTTTTTTTTCCTCTCCTGAGGTAGCAGGTATGTTGCAGTACAACTTAGCAATTTGGATACAGACATCATTGTTCTCTGCTGCATATTGTTAATGGGACATTCACACACATCACTTTAATGCAGAAAGACACTGCAGTTTGTAGGCATTTATTCAATTTTCTCAATCTCCACTGGAATCTGGTGAGAGGGTTTCCAAACCATCACACTCATTTCCAAACGAGCCACACTCGTTCCCTGCAGCATGCACAGTCTCTGGCTGCAAGTTGAGGGACAGGCTCCGTCTCTGCCTTCATTTTGCACAATTTCCGAAGTAAATCCATAGACGGTTGCTAGCTCACACTAGTCAGCCACCCCAGTCATTTCATGTGAGGTCCATAATACCTGGTGCTTTACATAAGCTCCAGCTCCAGAAGTGTCTGCAGGGCTTGTCTACCTGGTCAGGTGCAATCAGGAGCTTAATTCTTCCTGCACACTTAGCAGGAGCCCTGGTAGCTGCTGCTGTTAGAGGCATGACTCAGGGCAAGACTAGACTGTCTGATGAAGCAGATGCTCAGATCCTCAAAGCTTTCCCTCTTGAAGTGTATCATTTGATCTAATGAAAGTTTTTGCTTCTCCCTTAAACCTTACACTCATAGAAGATCACAACTGCTACTAACTTTGTTTTAAAGTCTCCGTATGGTGTGCCTTCTGCCTTGAGTCAAAAACGTGCTTTTGCCTCTGGGTTTCAGATTCAAAAAACCCACAATGTGCCTCCCAGTGAAATACTCATTATCAAACTATTTTGACTGATTCAAACCATTGCATAGAACACAGTTTGCTCCCTGGGTAAGGCAGCATGAAGGAACCAAAAAGTCACAAAGCATTTCTCCCATCCTGGGTGCAGATGGGTGTAGGCAGAGTACACCATAGCAGGTTTTCATTTCTCTTTCAAGGGAGATACCAGGGATGCTTGGGTGCAGAATGATGCACTATGTAGAAATGATATGCACCCTGCACAGGAAAAAATAAAGCATGGATGTTGGAAATTGGTGGCCTTCATACAGCCAGTTAGCTGCATAAATGTCAACCTATTTCTCATCAATGTTAAAACAGCGTTGCATTGCTGCAAATTGAAGTCTGCGTGTAGTGGAGTCCCTCAGCAGTGCCACCTTTCCTCCATTGCAGTAAGATTCAGAGGAAGTAATCATGTTCAAAGCAGCCTTTAGAAAACTCGACAATTAATCTGAGTACTCTGCAGGCAGAATCAGTCCTGGTAAAGGATTTAGATTAGTAAAAGAAGTAGGTAAGACCTTCTGAGCAGTAATATTTATTAAAAATAACTGGGTTTTAGGAAGGGATACAAACCAACCAGAATCTTCTGGGGCTTAGAAAAAAAAAAAAACACAGCTCACTAAATTTTCCCATAACTGCTGACTGCACATTTCCTCAAAACGGTGCTCACTGCTGTTTTGTCTGTGTTATGACCCCACCTGATGTTTTGTCCCACTTGATCCAGAGGAAGGTGTCCCTGCCCGTGGCAGGGGGTTGGAGCTAGGTGATCTTTAAGTTCTCTTCCAACCCAAACCACTCTGTGATTCTGTGAGGTGCATATTACATATTCAATTTTCCCTCCAAGATTAATTTTCCTCATGAATCTATATATTAATATATCAGCGTTGGATACATGACCTTATAAAGCACCTGAGAGGTGCATGCTGATGATATTCAAGGTCAGGTTCTTGCTATTTCAGACTGTAAAGCACTTGCCTTCAGGAGCAAGGCAGAGGTCCATACCACATGTTCAGCATTCAGCATGCATCCGAAGGCTAACGCAGAGTGCAAAGCATCATCTTGACATCTCGAGTATCAGTTCTAAGTACTCACCAGTGATTTATCAATCTCTTCTTTCTGTGGAACTTTTTCTTCATCTGCTACAGCTAAATTCTTCTATTAACTCTTTTGAAGACTGGGGTAAACTGCTCCCAGAGAATTTATACTGGCTTCCAGAGCTGTCAGGGTGCGTGTATATCTTCTTAAAGTACATTCATTATAGATTTGAACATTGTTACTGTAAAAAAAGCACCTACCTTCTCTTATTCCTTTAGCTTCAGATGATCGTGTTTCATATCTGCCAGGACATGGAGTCATTCAGAACGAGTCTTGGTTTCCATAATATTTAAAAATATTTTTAAAGTGAGATAATCTCATCCTTCTTTCCCAGATGTGTTCAGATGAAGACAATGAACTTTCTCTGTTCTCTGCAGCACATGGGAATGGCTCTGAGTGTGGTATGTATTTGTGTTTACACTGCCATGGTAACTGTGTTTGTTCTCTGTACAGTAGGGCACATCACCGTGAAAGGGCCATTGAAATTAGCATAGACAGTGACTTCATATTCACCACCAAAATTTGACTCCAAGCGCCCTGCACATTCATTTTTCCTTTGAAAACAGAATGGATGGCAAGTTACCAATGAGTAGCAAGTCTTTGAGGCAGCTACTTCTTTCTTAAGTTTTCTTTCTTGCTTTAGTTGGCAAAGTTTTGGATTTTTTCTAGCAAGCCAGGTGTATGGAGTGTTATTATATTACAGACTCATAGAATGATGCATTATAGAATTATATAATATTATTACAGAATATAATTGTTATACTATGTTATGGAATATTTAATAATAATGACAGGGTCTTACATCCGTTTAAGACTCCTTTCAGTGCCCTTGTGGTGAATGGATTTGATTCCTAGTTGGGCATGACCTTCAGAGGGATCCACAAGAACTCTACAAATTCCAGTTAAAACACAAATTATACAGGGGAGTCACTGCAGAAGCAGGTACAGATGCTGCTGTTTCCAGATTTAAAAAAAAAAAAAAACCTTCATATGCACTCTCAGCAGTAATCTGGAACTGAATGCCAAAAAAAATGCAGTGCCAGAGGGCCAGAAAGTAAGCAGCACTTGTCATTCCTACAAATCGCCCCATGCAACCTTTAATGACCATGACTTACAGGCAAAGACATTACTGTTTTATTCTTCCCACATTCCAGTTCCAGTCTTTTTCTGACCCTTCACTACAGCACACATGAATTAAATAGCAAGCTCTCCCAGGCAAAGGCCTTGCATTATTTATCTTTACTGTTTTGGTACTGAAGGAGTTGAGGAGGAGAGGGCATGCTAACACACGGATACATGAACACATGCGTTACCCTTTCTTAAAGCTAAATATTTCTGAGGAGAAAGTTAATAAAGTAAGTTCCTGATTCTCCGATACATAAATTACCTCTTTGTCACTGCCAAGACTGAAAATTAAATGAAAACTATTGAACCTTCTATGTCTTAAAATTAAAAAATTGATTTTAATGTTAGTGAAAGATGGGTAATAATGTAGAATTCCATTTTAAATATAATAACGCTAAAGAGATACAAAAAGCAGACATCAAAATACCAGCTCAGAGTAACTATTCCAACTACACCAGTGACGAGGGGCTTATCATTACTGCCAATACTTTGCTCTGGTCGTTGTGCTCCAAATAAATAAATACATCCCATTTTAATCATGGCTAAGCTTTTATACCAAGGTTTGTTAAATTATTTTTCTGCTAGCACAAACATGATCTAGGTCACCAAAACGCAGCCAGCTGAGCTGTAATCCAATAGTTCTTTAACACCAGACAGCGCAGAGTGCAGGAGGAGTTTCCCTGCCCTGGTCCTTACTCAAGCACCAGGGGAATGTCGGGGGCTGGAACCTGGCTGGGCCATTAAAAGTTTTACTTTTGGCAGGGAGGCACAGTGAGGTGGGGGCCTGCACGAATAAATAACTTGATGGGAGACTGCACAAATAAACAACTTAATGGAATAAACGGTCACATTTACAGGAGTAATTTACCTTTATATTAACGAATTTAAAACCAGAACTAAAGTTTTCGCATTATGTTCTTACCTATCTTGGCTGGCTGTTTAGGGCTCAGTGCAGTTAAACAATGATGGATGCAATTCAGGTCATGCTGCAGCCTCAGTGAGAAGAGATTCTAAAAGATTCGCCTTCAGTGAGCAAGAAAATAAAAATGAAAGAAAATTCAGAGATAAGCATGGTTGTTAGTTCAACAAAGAACAGTCACGTGAGAGCACTGAGGAAGAAGATCAATGAACTGAAAGACAACAAATGAGATAAGGAAGCCTTCAGCTGTGAAGGGATGGATGTTTTCTCAAATGAGAAGGAATGAGGCATTGCACGTAAGTGGAATACACAACTCCTATTTTCTATTTTTTGCCCAAGGATCTCAGTTTTTCATTTTATACTGAAATAAGTCATGTAGCTTTCTGCTTAAGGGTGTTTTGTTCTCATCTTTGCATTTTCTTGGAGACACGATTTTCCACTGCACTGCACCATCTGCTCATCGCTTACACCACTGCAGAGTGGAAGGGAGCGCAGTGCCCGGCATGCAGCATCCACGTTGCTTTGAGCCACTCATCTACACAGAAAAGACAAATGTTGCTCAGTGGGGAAATCTTACTGAGAACATATTTTTCATTTATCTGTACTCCTGTGAGTTCCCAGAAGCTTGGAGCACATGAACATTCTGGTCTTCTCTGTCCTCGTGCACTCCTTCACCAGCCTCACTGGACACGAGCAATCCTGGAGGCTAAAAAAAAAAAAAAAAAACAACAACACAACTAAAACGACAACCTGGAACAGAAGGCAAACGGAGGCTAAAACCTCTTCCCTGTTTTCTGCTGGCCATACACATGTGCAGTTGGCCTCCTGGATGCTGGAAAATATAATATTGCTTACCTAAGACTTCAGGCTTCAAATAATCTTGTGTATCTTTTTTGTACTGGAATATTCCAAGCACTGCTAAAAAGCATCAGTTAAAACAAATTCAGGAAAACCAAGATAGATAAACAAACAAAGTACCATAAAACAATGCTGGGGAGAGCATCCTGTGCCGAGGATAATCCCCGATCTGATTTCACGCAGGTTTGCAAGATGCCAAAACCACAGGGCTCGGCAGCAGCCGACCTGGCCCGGACACAGTAACCCAGGAGAACAGATTCATTCCCTCCTGATGGCTGCTCTCAGCCCATTCCCTACCAAATGTAGAAAAATACCTAAAACCACAATTGTTTCAAAGCTGACTTGGATAAACTAAGCTCTTGGTCACTTTTCAGCTCAAACCAGCTCACCCTAGGCTTATGTATTACAAAGTTGAAGAGAACATGCCAGCACGTTTTAGCGTTGGTGCCATGCCACAAGGGAGGTGTAATGCCTGATATTACTTTATGGCACTGAGGTAATTCAATAAATTACAAAAATATGCTACTGGTAGAAGAGAAACAAAGGTCTAGAGCCACCCAAGAAAGACAGAAACCTCGAATCCGAGGCAGTGGTTCTTCTGCAAGTGGACCCATGCAATGCAGACAGAGAAAGGAGACGTGGCTCTGGCGATGTAGCATTAATAATCAGCAGAGGCAGGAGTTCCAGCCTGTATTCCCCACATGATGCCATCTTTTTGATTTTTTACCACTGACTGGCTGTTCAGACTGCCATATGATACTTGGTATGCTTGAACAGGCAAGGGAGATGCTTGCCCCGACCCTGGGCCGTGGGGAACGTCCAGCTGGCCAACCCTGCCAGCCAGATTTCAAGGAAAAGTTTAGAGCTAGGCCAGTTGGCATGGGCTTTAAGGAAGACTCGAGACTGGCAGGTATCCCACTCACTTCACAGTGTACTGCTGGAAGCGATTAACTTTTTGATAAGGCCACTTCTTTAACATGCTAATATGTTTACTGCCACGTGTTCCATGAAGTCTTGGAGAGGTGCAACTTGCCTGCCTCCTCGATACGATGTGGAAACCCTGCAACAAATAGAGACAGGAAATGGCCAATAGTAAAAGAGATGCTGGAAGGACGGATAAATGTGATCTTTAGAGCGTTTCCCAAACGTAAGTGAAAGCCCAGAGCGCAAATTTCTCATTTAAGTTGGATTTTTTACATAAAGATCAGCTTTCAAAACACCACGGCTGAGTTCTACAAACGAAATCCCACCACCAACTACAAAAAGTGTTCTCCTTCAAAAAATAAAGACCTGAAAAGGCAAAAGCTTCAGCAAGTCTTTGACAATCCTCAAACTTACAAGAAAAGGCAAGTAGTAGTCTTTCACCCCAAACCTGAGAACACAAACTTGCATTTCTCATTCTACCGACTCTCTTCCCACTGCACGACAACCCCGACGAGCCTTTAAGCCGTTCGGGGGGCTCGGCATTGCTCACCAAAGAGCGCACGGCACCGAGCACAACGGGGCTAGCAGCGCGCACCCGAGGAACACCGAAAATCCCGAACTGCTCCGAAACAAGTGCGGCTCCAGAGCAGAGCCCAGGGACCCCCGGAGACCCCCAGGGTCCCCCGCCGCGCTGCGCACCCCGCAGGACGCGGACCCCGCAGCCCCGGCCGAGCCTCCCCATCCCTCCCCAAAGCTCCTCCGGGTGGTGCCGCCCCGCGGGGGCGGGCGGGGGCCGGGGCGAGCCCCCCCCCTCCGGTCCCTCCTTCCCCTCCCCGCCCCGGCTGCACGGGCGGAGCGCTCTCCCGGCGGGGCTGCGCCGGGCCATGGAGCAGCACCTGCGGCGGCTGAGGCAGGAGCTGGTAAGGGCTCGGGGCAAGGGTTGGGGCTGGGGGGGACCCCAAGCTGTGCCCCCCATCGGTGTTTGGCGGGGAGCAGCGGCCGGGGCCGTGCGGGCAGCCGTCGGTGCGAGGGAGCTGTTTAAACCGGGGGGGAGGGAAAAAAAAACAACAACAACAAAAAAAAAAAAAAAAAAAAAAAAAAAAAAACAACCCCCCCCCCAGGTGTCCGCAAAGATTGGCGACCAAAGAAGCGTTTGCGGTGGCCCCCAGCAGGAGTCCGGTGCGGGATGGCGACGATGCGAGGGGAGCGTCTCGCCCTACAGCGCCGGGGCAGCCCCCGGGGTTCTCGGAGCGCTCCCGGCTGCGAGGGGGGGGCACGGCGGGGACCCCCCATCACCCCCACAAACACACACCCGGGGGGGACAAAAGGAGGGGCCGGGGCACGGCACCAGCGGGCCGAGGGGGTTCGGGATGCGAGCAACCCCCCCCCAGGCTGAGCACTTCGCAGGGCGCTGATTTCTGGCGGTGTTTGTGCTACCGGGGCTGGGTGACAGGCTTACCTGCCGGGTCCCCGTCCTGATGCGATGTCCCCGTCCTGCTGCGACACGGGGCTCTGCTCGCCTTTGTCACCTCCAGGTCGGAGCTGGCGGTGCCCGGGCTCCAGCGGGGCAGGCAGGCTCGCAGGTGGGCAGGGGGCTTTGCTCCGAAAAACCTGGCAGCAGCCGGTGCCGCTTCACCTGGTGGCGTTGGCGACGTTTCCCAAGCAAAGAGAGCGGCCGGAGTACAAACTAAAACAAAGAAAGCGAGAGGCACGGGCGGGCTGGGTGCGATGAATGAAATGCAAATCGCGACACGAGACGCGCACGTTGCAACCTGGAAGGCCTTGAAAATCCGAACAAGTCGGAGGGTGAGGTGGATAAAATGAGTCACTCTCAGAAGAGTGTGCTTAGAATAAGGTTACTAAATCTGTTTTTTTGTCTTACTAATAAATTAGTCTCATTATCTGAGCAGTAGTTTGTGTAGAAGCCTAAACATTGCACCTTTGGCTTGTGATTCAGAAACGTGCCTGCTTTGCAGAGCACAACACAACATCTGGGGGGTTGGAATATACCTGAAAACAGATTCCTGACACTTAACGTGAAAACCAAAAAATACCAGAAATGAGAAAATTCATGCCCCTTCTATAGTGCAGTAGCAGAATATTTTTAACTGTAAAAATGCCAGTTTTTATTATATTAATAAACCAGGGCATTAGCTTGGCAAAGATTTATGCAGATGCTTGGCTTAGACTGGGAAGGGACATTTATCACCTTCAGTAGGACCAGTCGTGACTTAACTGAAAGTAGCCCCATATTCCTATGCTTGGTTTTAAATAGTCATGTTCTTTCCTCCTCTCAGCCTCCCCCTCCAAATTACCCTTACTTAGAAACATATTTCAACAACAAGCTCTCAGGATTTCAGCGTGCAGCTTTGGAGTTGCTCAGAGAGCGCTCCGAGAGCATGGCTTTCATCGGGAGCTTGGGGAGCTGCAATTGCACTTACTGAGGGCAGGAGGTCTGTATTAATTACAATAAGTATAAGCGATATCCTCGGCAATAACAGCTTTTAAAAATCAATACTGTCAAGATAGTCTGGAATTAAAATAGATTAACGTTTCTTTAAAGACCAGCCAGCAGCACAGGAGACAGCTGCAGCCATCTGCCCTGAATGGTGAGTGGGAACCGAGCCTCTTGACCCTGCCTTCCTTGCCACTTTCTTCATTACTTGGCAGGGCATGCCTCCAGATGTTAAACGCACCAGAACCAAGAATCATGCGGGAGGAATGGTGGGAAGGACTCGGTCTGTTTGCTCAGACAAACAGAGGCAACAAGCTGCCCCTGTGCACCTAAAAGGGAGCCCTGTGCCCAGCTCCAGGGCATCACACGGAGGGCAGAAACACAGAGATTTTCCTTCTGTGCACGGAGCAGCTCTGGTCAGTACAATGCGAAGGCTGGAAGCCACCTGGTCTGCACAAGTTTAGGTTGCTTCAGTTTCAACTCCAGCCTTTGGCTGGTTTTGAGGACTTTTTTTAAAAAAAAAAGAAAAAAAGAAACAAGCGGATGTTGGCACAGCTCCCAGTTCACAAGGAAAGGTTATCTGCAAGTGCAACTCAATCCCCCATCAGTGTGGGATTCGAGGATTCCAGCTCTGATTTTTCTTGTTCCTGTTTTATGTATTAAAACCATATTTAAGTAATTGTGTGCTTGGCTCAGGCTGCTGGTGTGCCCAGACGTTTCAACACACAGCCTGTGCATTGAGATCACGCCGGGCTTTGCCAGACAAGTCACAGATGAGCGTGGGTCTGGGCATGCTTACACCAGCCTCCGTGTCAGCCTCTGGGAAGGCTCTGCCAGGCCTCTCACGATGGCTCCCAGAGATAAATTTGGCCCATTTCAGTCAATGAGAGCACTCATATTCCCACTGCATGTTTTCCATTGTAAGCCGATAGTTTCTGGCATGTGTGGTGTCCCTTTGATTGGAATTCATTCAGAAGCTTCCACATGCAAATGTTTTAAAGCCAGGAGAGTCTCAGCTGACACAGCCATTCATCACAGCCGGGCGTGCGACCCGAGCACAGCACAGGGTCAGATCCGTTTCTGAAGCTGGGGTCCTTGTCCTGGTGCTGACATCCCCGTCTGGGTAGCTCTGAACTGGCCGTGTCTGCTCTCTGCTCCTCAGTCTCTTGACGTATAAAACACAGACCTTGTCCACCTCCTCCTAAAGCCCCTGGAGATTTAGGGATGTGAGAATGTACAGGGCTGGTTTGTAGGCCTGGCACAGAGTACACTGTGCTTCTCCTCTCGTTGTCACCTGTCCTTCATACGGCGATTGTGAGATGTGCCGCAGCACTCACACATCTTCCCTTAATGCAGTTAAACTCAGAGCTGAGAGTCCTTTTCACTATCAGCTGGACTCCGAGTCTGCAAACATCCTTCTGAGGCACAGAAATATTATCTCTGCTTTCTGAGTTACAGAATATTATCTCAGCTGAAAGATCAGATTTAACAAGAATTGTCTTGCTCGGGGATTAGGAGAGAGGAATTTCATTTCCGCGTCTCATGCTGCAGATGGCATTACCTCTGTAAACTTTCTGACACGGGGATTGTTTGCATTCATACATAGTAACATCAGCAGAGCACAATGGGATTGGGGTTTCAAGGCTCCTCTACCAGAAGAATAAATCTCTTGTCTTTATCTACGTAGGGGCTGGTGAGTTCATGGGGCAGATTTACCTTGCACTTGGGCTTTGCGTGGCTCTCAGGGTGAAGGGTTGCAGTCAAGACAGCCAGAGCTGTGACTTCACTCTGAACAGTTTGATTTTTCTTGAGGTATCCAGGACATTTCTGGGCTTTCTGCTGCCTTTTACTACTTGTCCTTTTAGATGGGGAAAAGTAGATACTTAAAACAAAAAACACCACTCCAACTTAAACTTCTGAATGTTCTCCTGCACATTCATCATAAATACATCAAATTACCGAGTTTGATAGAGTCTGACTCCCCTCTCATATTATGTCCTGGTAGACGATGTTTCTTGCTATGAATATCTTACAGGAATAGAACATTTGGTCTGACTGAAAAATGCAGCTAATTATTTTTACTGTCTCACAGTGGATCCTATTCCAGTAACTGTGTCATGCTGGAAACGGATTCTCTGTACTTTCATTAGTGCTATTTCGGGAGCAGCTCTTGTGGTCTGCAGTAGACGGGGCACAAGCAGCAGCGTCCAGGGCTGACATCGCTGCTCACAACTGCAGCAGGTGGAAACATGCAGCTTTGTTTGTGTCTGTTGATGAACTGATCCCCTTCAGGGGGGCTTTTCCCATCACTGCTGGGATGGCGTCAGAAAGCTTGCGTGGTTATCACACATCTTTCCTTGGCATTTGCCTTGAGGGAGGGCACAAAGCAGAAGCTTTGGCAGCAGAATTCCTGTTATGCAGAATGTGGGGGAGAGAAAAAGCAATTACAGGCCTTGTCCATTTGTTTATTTCCAGAGAAGACTTCTGAAAATTAAAACTGTGGATTTTTTTTTAATTTCAGCTGCACACATTCAGGAATTTTTATGACCAGATACCCAGTGCAGGCAGGCCACTTGGCTGAAAACCGACATTTTTAACCATCATCTTCAAGGGACAGGCTGTACACTGAGGCTTGCGGTCTTCCTCAGCCCCATGTTGAGGAGTCTGAAGGCCAGAGTTCTTTTTTGATTATTTACTGGCTGTAGAGAATTGATTTTCTGATTCGCCTTCAAATGTGTGTGATCAGGAAGCACAGAACAACAATTGAAAGGAAGGAAACAGAGTAAGGCAGATAGTTAATTGAGTGATGTGAACTGCGTCTTCCACAGTTAACATCTGCTTGAGAGCCATTTATCCCACTGGGAAATTCTTCGGTAAAGTTTCAGCATCCTTCCTCTTTCAGATAGATTGTGAGCTCACACTTAACATCCTAATTTACTCCTAAAATATTCTGGGAAAACAGAGGTTAAAAAAAAAAGATTTGAAACCCTAGTGATAAAGTTCCAGGACAGAACGACCATCGCAGGCCCATGGCATCCAGGGAAAGCCAAGCAGGGCACGACATGGAGCTAGTAGGAGGCTCCCTGCGAGCACTGCAGAGCTGTGCCCAGCTACAGTTGCAGGCTTGCTGAAGATTAATCTACCTAGTGACCCAAAGGAAAACACAGAAACAATATGATCAGCTCAGCATTTCTAAAATAATTTTGGTCTCTATTAGGTCATCCTCTTTAAATACAAATTGTTTGTGGCTGGTTCTGTTGCCTACCAGCCCTGTTATTGAGAGCTGCGATTTGCCCTTTGCTCTTTCCTGTCCCCTTAGCAATAACTTCCTCTCGTTGCGCTGCTTTACCTAGGAGCTGGACATCTGTCTTCCTCCCCGCTATGAGGGGTGCACTCAGAGCTCTTCTTCCCAGCCCCGTGCTCAGCTGCAAGCTGCGATGTGTTCGCTGGGTTTTCTCTTTCCTCCGGTCAGCACCAGAAAGCTGCCGTGGTCCTGGGCAGGCCAGATGTGCGGATGGGCTGGGAACAAAACCAGCTGTGGCCCGAGGGGATTGAGCGGAACTGAATTCCAAAAACTTGGTGAATTTAGATGCTATTAAGAAAAACTTTGTTCCCAGAGCGAGCTTAAAAAGTTCTTGATTTACGAGTGAAATGGCAAGTGAAATCTCCCTTATTTGTATGTCTCATGTATATGGTTTTGAGTCTGATAAAATGCCAGTAAGTGCTAGAGGATGTTCCTTGGGGCAAGTTGTCCTCTTGCTGTGTTAATCGGTTTGGGAATCACTGATTTATGAGCTGTGAAAACTGGTTTGGGTTGTTGCTCCAGGAATAAGTATATCAAAGAAATGATTAGAAAGGTATAACTTCCAAATTAATTGATGCCTTTGCCATCCAAAATGGCAGATTTTCAATGTAAAAAAATCCTGAACATATTTGAACTCCACCAATTTTGAAAGATGGGGGCTGAGTATCTGGGGCTGGTTTGGCAACCAGTTTGGGATTTGCAGCTCGCAAGCACAGAAGACAGAACATCTCCTGATGCCCTGTGGTGGCCGGGTTACATAAAGTCACTTGCGTAACCTCAGCAAGCACAGTCAGGGTCTCTCTGCACACCAAATTAAGGCTCTCTGGGGTTTATCTCACATTCACGCTCTGTTTGAAATTGCGCTTTCGTTCTTCACAAATCCCAGCTCCTTCTACACCAAGTGCCTGACCGCAGAGCTCACGGGGCTGCAGGGGTTCTCTGCTCGGCCTCATGTTCCCATCACCTTACAGCCAGAGCATCTGCCTGACTTCCAGCCCAATCTGCTGCATTAATTGCAGAAACTTCCCTTCTAGCAGCCCAGAGAACTTGATCTTGAATCTTGGCCAGGGTGGTGGTCTCAGATCCGGGGGAGCTTGTTCCTTTTGTCAGCAGTTAAAGCCTGGAGAGTCTCAGAGAAGCCAGCGTGAACTTGGGAGGAAGGGTTTCTTCTTGGCAAACAGGAGAGAATGGCTGTTAGACACAAAAGAAGAAACTTCTTTTTCCAGAGCTTTCTCTCCATGGCAAGTATTCTTAATTACCACAGAGTAATTACAAGTGGATGAAATCCAAGCCCCTGCAGACTGTTTGGTCACCAGTCAGTGACTTCACTTGGGGCTGGGTTTTGTTCACACTCTTCAATCCATGAAAGACGAAGCCAGTGCCACAAATAGCAAAAGATAAAGCAGGTTTCTCTTGGAATTGGTTTTGTTTGTTTTCCCAACTTCCACAACCTGAAGCTTTAGCAGCGTAATTAAGCAGAGCTAAAAGCTTCAACACCTTCCCAGCCCTTTTGCTGAAAGTGGAGTGGATTTGCATTGCCAGGGACACCGAGGCCATCTCAGCCAGAGGTGAGCTGCTGGGCAGTAGGTGAGGACCACCCAAACCTCAGCATCAATACCAAGAAAGCATCTCTGCTGCTTTTCCAGTGCCTTGGCTCCAGGCTGGTGCTGGCTCTGGTTCAGCAGAACCAGCTCATTCATCCAGGTTCACTTCTGAACACAAGGGGAGCGCTGGAATCTGGGCGTTCGGGGCTCAGACCTCTCACCAGGGGGAGGCTGGGTCCGTCTGCGAGAAACGAGCACGCAGCTGATAAATGCTGCCCATGAAATATTAATGCTTAATAGAGCCTTGCTGGATGAGGCATGCATTGTAATGATACCACCCATCGGGGGGGAGTTAATTGAATCAATGAGGTGAACAGCAGAGCCGCCCAGCATATGTTGGGGTTGCAGTCAGCCCGGGCGGTGCGGGGGGACCCGTGTCACTCCGCTCAGCGTGGCCACACCGCTGCACCCGCCAGGGGATTTGAGGGGAAGCAGCCAATGAAGGGCCGAGCCAGCTCCAAATCCAGCTTTTTGCAAAGCCCCAGATAAAACAGACTTCCATTAATAAGGCGAGAAAGGTTAGGACGAGGAGCATTACAGCAAATCTGGAGAGGTAAGGTGATAGTTTTGTCTGAAGCTTGTAGAACATATGGCCTCAGCTTTTGTACTGGTAACCCAAGAGCTGCGGTAGTCTGGAAGTGGGGCATTATTTGCATATCTGCAGAAGCAGAGGTTTATTTGCTGATGTTAAAAAAATTAGATAGCTGGGGACAGTTGATAGTGCCATTGGGAAGTTGGCAGAGTTTTTCTGAATCTCCACAGCCAGCGCGTTCGTTCTGGGTGGTAAATGAGTTTCTTGGGAGGGAAGCTCTGAAAAATCAGTGGAATCTCCCTGCTAATTTTAGGTTTGGGGTTATGAAATGGAGATAGGATTTTGTGGTCAGAAACTGTTGTGAAGCTTTCCACTTCCAGAGCTAGGCTGTAACAGAGAATCATGTTTTTTGATGACTGCTCTGCTGCACTGCTCAGATCTGAGCACAGAAATGGAAATAGAGCAAACTAAACTAATTTAGCAAAAATGAAGTAAAAAAAAAAATGAAAGCTTCATAAAGTAAAGCTGAACAAGAGATGTATCTGTCCTTTTTCATACTAAACTTAAAGATCTATTGCTGTACAAAAAAATCTCATGAGCCTTTTAAACTGTTTTTGACAGTATAGGCTAAAGCTGTTCCTAGACAGTGGTAATCTCTCCTGCAAGCCACCTTGTATCAGTGCAACGCCTTCACCTCCAGCCCTGCCATCCCCTGCTGTTCTTCCCTCTCTCCTTCCCCTTCCCCTCCCCACGAGGGGTGGCAGCTGTTGGGACATACAGCCCGCTTGTTTTATGGTGCTGCTTCGGGAATATGATCCAGATCCTACATAAGAAAGGGAAAGCAACAGAGCAAGAGAGAAGAGGGGAATTTAGCAGCTCTGGAAAATACCTTGCGTTTTTCAAGTCTAACATAGAAAGTTAAATCTGTATAGCAAATTTCAGGGATAAAGCAGGACTGCTGTTGGTCTTAGATCACTGTTGTGCTGTAAGTAAGTTTAGAGTTTGTTGTTCTGTACAAGAGTTCAAGTGCATTTACATTTCTTTGATTATCCTCCAGTGATAGATGCCTGTAATGCGAGCATTTAGATCTGAAGATACATTGCCAAGTAATGTGATCCTTATTGGGGTTGATTTTTAATTTAGTTTAGCACTTCAGGTAAAGAAACAGTTCTCAGTGGAAGGCACGGTCTCCTCATTATTCTGACTCCCAGTTTCGGTTTGTTATTCAGGACAAGGGGAACAAAAGCAGTGGAATACACTTAAACTGGAGACAGCTGAAACCAGAGTTATACACCTTGGGTTTCTGCCAAGCAATTAATGGGAACTCAAACTATTTTTGTTGTCAGGTCAAAAAAAAAATCTACTACTTCTGTCAGCTCGCCTTATTCCTAGAGGGTCCAGATTATTTTTAAACCATGTAAAACCCTTAGAGAATTTGAGAAATATCCTGTTGACGTTCCATGAAATGGATGTGGTAGAGGTATGCTGCATGTCAGGCGCGATAAGGGGGGCGGCCACATGTCAGACGAGCTGCAAGCCCAGCTCTCCTGCCCTCCGGTCCGAGCCTCCTCGCCCTCTCTGCTCCCCAGACACTGACCTGCTGCCTTTTTCTTCCCCCGCAGCTGTCCATGAAGGAGGTGGGAGACGGGCTGCACGAGCAGATGAACTGCATGATGGGCGCGCTGCAGGAGCTGAAGCTGCTCCAGGTCCAGACGGCGTTGGAGCAGCTGGAGATCTCAGGGAGTCGAAGCACCAGCGCGGAGCAGCACCCGTGCTGCCGGAGCAGTGGAGCAGGGCCACGGGGCCGGGCAGCAGCAGGGGGCTGCAGCCCCACATCCCTCACCTGCGTGGTGCCACAACCAGCCAGCTTGGCCCATCCCACTGTGCTCCCAGAGAGCGGCCACCTTGGGGACACCTCTTCCTCCTCCTCCTCTTCTTCCTCCTCTAGGAGCACCTGCGGCAAGGATGCCTCCCACACAAAGGGACCTTCCTCGGCCCCAGCCAGAGCAGAGCACGTCCACCCAAGGACATTCGAGCCCAGCAGCCAGGGCATGGCTGGGAGGTGGCCGGCACACCAGGAGTGCCCGGGGTGTGAGGACAGCCACGACTGGACGTCCTCCCTGATGTCCCAGAGCAGGAACCGGCAGCCTCTGGTCCTAGGGGATAACATCTTCGCAGACCTGGTTGGGAACTGGTTGGATCTGCCAGAGCTGGACAAGAAAGGGGAGAAGAGCGAGGCCTCCCTGTCTGCCAGCAGGTCCCAGGAGCTCTGCAGGAAGTTCTCCCTCACAGCCAACATCTTCAAGAAGTTCCTGAGGAGCGTTCGGCCAGACCGAGATAGGCTTCTCAAGGAGAAACCTTGCTGGCTACCGCCTGAAGACAAACAGCCCGAAATTTCCAAAAGACCCAAAAAGACGAACAAACTCAAGGGGACATTTTACTTCCCACTCCATGGGAACATCCAGAACCACCACAGCAAAGTGGAGAGGTGCCCAAAGGGGGAAGGCAGCATCAAGAAACCCAAAACTGGCACCAAGAAAGTCCACGATACCATAGACTACACCCAATCCGGGTTTGATATCAATACAGCCGTTTGGGTCTGAGTTTGTCGTGTCCCCTGCTCTGCCAAGCATTTCTTGCACCAGGGAGGAGCTGAGGCCGTGCACTTCTCAGGAGTCCCCCAAGCTCTCGGCTGGGACCGAAAAGTCTCTGAAGTGTGCCATGCCGTGGCTGCAATCCCCTGCACGTGGCATCTCCCATCGAGCTGCAGCTGGCTCAGCCCCACACACTGAGGCAGCCCGTGGGGACCAATATTTGCAGAAATAATCAGAATTGTTGGCAGCTTTTAGGGTGAGCGGTGCCACCGATAGCAGCTCCTGGAGCCTGCCTCGTGACAGCACCTTCAGGCCCCCTCAGGTCATCTCCAGTTACAGTACCTGCAGCACAAAATTCACTGTATGCGTGTGTATGAGTGTGCAAATATATAGTTTTTTAAAAATTCTGCTTGTGTGCACTTAAAACCAGGTTGTAAACCTGGCAATTCTAGCAGTGATCCTGAAGGACTTGTTATTTAAATTTTAGAAAAAAATGAGTGCTGCCACCTAAATTTCAACAATTGCTACATGCAGGTGTTGAATCCCAGCTCTGTTGCATTTCAGCTGTTTCTCGTCCCCCTGAGCTGCATCTCCACTGTGCTCATAGCACAAATTCCCCCTCCTGCTAAACCAGCAGGGCCGGAGGCTCCTTCATGGACATCTGTGACACTTGGAAACTCCAGCCGCTTTTGCCTCTTTCCATGCCCTTCTCCCCCGGGCTCACATTGAGATACAGCATTGCCACAGATGTTTATTGTTAACTTTGCACTGTGACACAGAATTGCAAGAGACATTTGTTGTTGTTGTTTCCCCTGTTGTTGTGTACAAACCCTGTCCTGAAAGAACCAAGTTCTTCAGCAGCCAGCTCTCCAAGAGCTACAAATAAAGCAGCATCATCCCCGTGTGCTGTGGAGCAGTTTGTGTCCTGGTGCTGGCATCCAGCCCCGTGTACATCAGCCTTTTCTCCCCTACAGAAGCTTCTGGGTTTGCACTGCCCCAAGAACCCAAATCAAGCCACTCAGATGCCCACAGGGGTGCTTCAGCCTGGTCCTGGCCAGCAGTGGGGGCTTGGGGCCAGGTCCCCTCTGGCTCCATTGTGAGGAGACCACAAGTCCTCAGCAGGGGGACATCCCAGGGGGCTGCTGCCACTCCCAGGGCTCAGCACCCCCTGCACAGCAGCATTAGGTTGTAAAAACCTGCTCTGATCACTCCAAGTTTAGGAAGGGCTCGTGTGTGAGCAGCAGCATTGTTTTTTTAAACATGCAATTCTAGTCATGTTTTAGCTTCCCAGGACAGAGAGGCCAGTGGAGCAGAGGCATAAAGGGAGAATTCCCCCCCCAGCCCCCCCTCAGAAATTAAATATAGGCACAAGACAAGCCCTGTTTCTGCCCATACAAGGAGAGAAGAGTGGGTCAGCATCTGACAGCTATGCTCAGCACTTTTTCAGGAACCTGAGCTGGAAGCAAGCTTTTGTTTTCCTTCCTCACAGGCCCTAGCTCTGGGTGCTTTTGCTTTCTCTCCATTTCTCTGAATGCTGAAAGGCTGTTTGGGGCGCTCTGTTTTCCTCCTCTTTTATCAGGACTTCATCCTGTTTGGTACAAAGGCACCCTCCCAGCTCCCACCAGCCCTTTCTGTAGGATCAGCAAAGAGGAGAAAGAGCTTTCTATAAGCAGCAGCACAACAGAGCAGCGGCTCCTTCCTGCACTGACAGCTGAATCCCCCCCCTTGCCCCCTTTTCCTTCATTAAGGAGGGCAACTGCTCCCTCCACCCTCACTAAGGGACCCACCACAGCACACACTGCCCCAGCCAGGGTCCCAGCACCACAGGGCCCCCACAGCACAGGGGGGAGCCAGCCAGCCCTGCCCACCCCCAGATCAAGCCCTGGCCATACCTGCAGCTCCAGCAGCCAAACCCCAATGCAGAAGTGCTGAATAGGGGGTCCCAAAGGCTGATTGTGCCCCCCTGGGGGCTCTTTAAGCCAGGCATGGGCATTGCCCTCAGCTGGGATGAGTGCAGGAGGAGCCCCAGCTGAGCAGGGCAGGGGGTTTGCACAGCTGTGGGCACTCAGGGGGTTGTTTTCCTCCCTGCAAGGCTTTTCCCTTGCTAAGGCAATACCTGCTGCAGGGGGATTTAAAATGGTGCAATTATATGGGATGCAGTGAGAGCTGGAGCCTAAAACGTGCATTTGGAAACCGCTCGGTGGGAAAAGCGATGTCTAGGATTTGCCCCAATTTCCCTCCGTGCAGCCCCTCCTTCCCCCGTGGCTGGGGCTCAGAGAACAAGCAGGCTGCTGGGCATCTTGGGGGTTATAAATGACCGGCTATGCCAAAACATGTGCTGTCTTGCAAATATTTGACACCCACCCCCAGCAGCAGCTGCTGGCAGCTCTGCTCCCTGTCGATGCAGTCTCACACAGAGCCAGCAGGACGCTTCTCCTGGGAACGAGCTCTTGTGGCCCCACACTGCAGCAGCTGCCACAGCCCCATGTTCGTGCCGGCCACATGGCACAGGCCACGGGCACCCTCGGGCCCCCATCCCGTGCCCTTGGAGAGCCTGGCTCTGAAACCAGCCCTTTCTTTCCCTGCTTGGAGGAAACGCTATTGTTTCCAGGCCTGCATGGACAGGGCCGTTCTTGGCCCAGCAGCCGCCCACGCGTTCCTTTCCCACCCAAACCATGCACCCCGCTCCCCCCGAATTCCTGGCTGTGGGGTGGGACCGGCTACAGCGGGTCAGTGCCAAGGGGCTTGGGGTGGTCTCTGTGCCTGCTGCTGCATGCCCTGCTCCTGCCTGCGGCCACCAGCAGGACCACATCAGCCCTGGGCAGGGCTGCAGGACAGCCCAGGGGGCCGGGAGGTCACGTTCGCTTCGTTCCTCCTGCTCTCGAAGGAGCAGAGACCCTCAGGGGTGCTTCGCACAGACCAAGCGCTCAGCATAGCTTCAAACGTGTTTATGTTCCCTCTGCCTCCTAAACGTGTCATCAAAGGGTATCTTGTGCTGGAATAGGATTTTCCAAAGTGTTTACAGTGACAAATTCAGTGTGCTCTGAGCTTCAGACAGCCACTTGAAAATTGCAAGTAAATGTGGCTGGATCTCCACGTTCTTGGGAGAAAAAATATTTAATTAATATTCTTTAAGAGGCATTCAAACAATAAAGACTATCAAGCAAGCCAGTCATCCTACCTCGTTTTGTCTCCAGAGCAGGATTTGCTAATAGATGTGGGTAGAATTTGTGAATTACCATTTCACTTCTCCAGGGACTTTTCCTGAAATGATAATGGCTTTTTCTCCTCTTTTTTCATAAAACTGCCATGAAATAGTTCCCCATTATTAAGTATGAGACCTAGCTAATTAGCACGATGACAGTCTTTAATGAGGCCCTAGCTGTGTTCTGCATCTTTGATAGGTGTGGTTAATACCAAACACTGCAATAATTACAGAGACGTTCCCCCGTGAACCTGTCCCATGCAAGGCAGCGATGGCAAATGAACCTTGGGCGCTGAGATTTATTAGAAATCTCTATTCCTGGATTGTGCGAAGCCCAGAGAGGATCAAGTTGGAGTTAATTTGACACCAATAATGTTCATTCAGACACCAGGGGTTAATGAGATGGCAGTGAGGGATGGATGCAGGAGGAGACTGGCACTGCCCACCACTGGTCTGATCCCAGGAGCCCTGGTTTGGGCACGAGGGGCAGCAGCAGCGAGCCCAGCAGGGAGCTGCTCTGAGGCTCTTGGTGGACTTTCCCTCCCCAGGGGCTGCTCTGCCCAGGTTTGTGCTGGGCCAAGGGGCTGGGGGCAGCACTGCCTGGCCCCACGCACATTGAATAGGCATGGATCAGTGCTGCGTCTGGTCCAGGTCGCCTCGTGTGCAGAGAGGGTCGGGCTCTTACAATTAATGAAGTGATTTCCAGGGTCTGCTCCTCGCTCTGCCTCTCTGGGCTTTCCCATCGCATCCAGCACTGACGCTCACAGCGTGCTCCCTCCAGCCAGATGGCCTCCAGAAGGCTCACAAATGTGCCAGTAATTAAAAAGCTTTTATTTTTAAAACCATTTCACAGCTTACGCTTCTGACAATGGGATGGGGCTAAAGCTGGGCAAGAGGAAAGGCAAATAGAGGCTGGCTGTGCCCGTTTGGTTCCCTTCCCATCGCCCAGCTCCTCTGCATCCCCTGCATCCCAGGGGCAGCTCCGTTGCCGTGCTGCGCAGCGGCTGCACCCCCACCACTGCCAACCATCCGTGCTGATGTGCCTAACTAACCGGAAAGGCCTTCTGACTGGAAACTGAGCAAATTTAACAATTTCCCCTCAATTCCCCTCATACTGAGTCTGGCAGGAGAGAAGCCAATTGCCGTATCATTGCTGAAATAAGACCCATTTTGTTCAAAGCCCACTGCTGTTTATTCACTCCAACATTTTCCCCATCACCTTTGTCATATTATCAGCAGAATCTCTTCTACTTCCTCGAGCAACGTTCCAAGAACCGAACCATGCCTCTCTCTTCAACATCCCTGTCTCTGCAGAAAGAGGGTATGTTTCTCTTTCCTTTTGTTCAAGTCCAATTGTATCCACGTGGCATTTCTAATCAAGAAATCGTACCCTCTTCCAGCTGGCAAGCAGTCTCATATGCTGATTTTACAGAATAAACAAAAAAACAGTTTTCTGCAATTATTTGTGTCAGCCGAAGCTGGGCTGTGACACTGCTGGGAGCTCTGCTAGCCCAGCTCGGCTTTGCTCTGCTGTCCCAGAGATGGCTTTACCCGAGCTGTAGCCTCCCTGCTTGGAGGTGGCTCCTCAAGCCTTCTCGTTCGCCTTGGGGGATTCATTCACTGCCCGGCTGTGAGCTCGCAGTCCCCAGCGAGGTCTTGGTGCATGTTTTTCAGGTGCATTTCCTATAACAGCCACACTGAGCAAAGCCTCTGAACTGGCTCAAGTTTCTTGGTTTTCACCAAGCAGGGAAGAGAAAGGGAGAAATCAATAACCCGGGAAGATGAAACTCCTGACCCTCCTCTGGTCTTCACCTTGGGCAGTCCGGAGGCTAAATGGGAAAAGCACTTTCAAGCAGGCTTTACACAGCACAGGAGACAGGACACGGTCCTGGTGGGGACGGGGAAGGGGCTGGATGAGGCCACAGCCCTGGTGTGGGAGCAGGGGGGAGAGCGGCTGCTGGGTGCTGATGCCCACAGGCTGCCACCTCCCGTGGGGCCAAGCCAGGTCCCACTGCCCATCCCTGGTACTGCTGCCTCGAGGCACAGAGGAGCTCCTGAGCAGGGCACAGGGCTGGGCACCATCACCCAGCTCTGGTTTGTCTGTGCCACCTCTGGAGATGTTGCTGTGGGAGCTGGGGGTGCGGGGGTCCCACCGTCTGGGCAATTAGCGGGCAGATCTGCTCCCTCATTAGCGGACTGAGCCAGCAATTCGGGCTGGACCATCCCAGAGGGCTTCGCTGCATTCACACCATCAGGCTGGCGTTAGCGATGTGACATTTCGAACCTGGAGATAACGAACGTGACATTCTGTCAGGTTTAATTAGTCCCTTTGCTCTGCCCATGACAGCCTCTGCGGAGGTGAAACCTGGAGCTGAGCCTCCGAAGGCGTCACGAGCGGAGGTGAGTGCCAGGAGGCGACACCGGGCCTGAGCTCAGCCGGTGCCCCAAGAAGCAATTGCTTTATTCTTAAATGGATATGCAAACAGCAACTCTCCTTGCATGGTTAGGATAACCAAAGGGTCTCTCCAGCCTCCCAGCACCACGTTTTGTGTCTGTAACAACCCTTTGGGACTGAAAAATCTCCCAAGAGGACTGGCCGGGTGTCAGGAGCGCTGCACAGCGCCCGTCACCTCCGGCCTGGGCTGAGGGCGTTGCAGCACCAGGCCCCGTCTGAAGGGCTTCAGGAAGAGACCCCACTTAACTCGCTGTCCTGGCAGCGGTTCCAGCAGCAGGGTGTGCTGGCAGTGAGGGAACACAGCAAGGGATGAGCCCTGAGCCCCGTGCCCGGCCACCACTCACCCAGTCCACACCATGGGCTCTCGTGGCAGCCAGGGCAGGAGGCCGAGGGGAGCGCTGCCCGGCTGCAGCTCTCCCCAGCTACCTGCTCCGGCTCTCCCCGCTCTCCCTTTTTCATTCCGTTCCAGACCAATTACTGAGAGTTTGCACCCAAAGGCAGCTCGCCAGGCATTTATGCGTGCAGCTGCCTGGTCTGAATGCACTCATGCTAATTGTGTGGAAACGAGTCGCCGTCGGTTTTGTACCGAGCTTCCTGCTCCCTGAATCGAGCTGTGCTTGTAAGGACTGATCACGTCCTCTGACTGAAAAGGATTCAAGAGGGAATCTTTCTGCTTACTGCTTACCTGGTTTTCAAACACTCATCACTCAATGTTGGTGATGCCGTTACTGGGATTTGCTGAGCTTTCCACAGAACAGGTATCTCATTTGCCTTTTTAAGGTGTCTCCTAAGATGAACGGGAACAAACACTCCACCTGCAGCTGGAAACAGACTCAGGAAATTCACTGGAGATAAGAGATATTGCCAGGAGAAGTCAAGCAAAACTCTTCCTTTTGTGGGGCTTTTACGGGCCCTCTAAATCACCCTGAAATGGACAGGACAAAACTCCCTCACCCTGCCCGCGAAGCAGCAAGCCCTGCAGTTCCTTACCGGTGCCAGGCAGCCCCTACGTGCCCAGATTTCTGGGGAAACTCTGCTCTACCTTGCCAGACCCGCGGGTGGCACTTGCCAGGCAGATGAGCATCAATCGGCCAGCTCAGCGCCAAGCTCCTCGCTGGGCAGCAGCACATTTTGCAGGCATGGGCTGCGAATGCATTCCCAGCACCACGAAGTGCTGCAGGGTGGACCTGGTGCTGTACGCATGCCCCTCGTGTGTGAGTCTAAATCGGGTCTGGAACAACCTGTCACTCCTGCAGCATGTCAAAGGTAAATTTCCCCGTATCCC